ACACACACACACACACACACACACACACACACACACACACACACACAACACACAGATAACACACATACACACATCTCACACATACGCAGAGAGAGAGGTGAGAGATATACTCTCTCTCTCTCTCTCTCTCTGTATTCTGTATGATGGTACGTTCTTAATACACTTAGATGGAGTAAGCCTAGTGATCTGTAACACACGTCCCCAACCTAGCAACCTAGTACATATTACAGCTCTCTCTAAGGTACTACTACTATCTTTTAGAGAGAAATAAAACAATTTGTATTATTCGTATACACGTAATTTACGTTAAGAAGAATAGTAATTTTGTTTTTGGAAAATAGTGACGGGCTGATTAATACGAGTAATAAAAATAATCTACCTGCCCTACACAGTCATCTAGACGAAGTCACAAATCCATTTAAGGGTCATGTATACGCCTCTATAATAAGATTCCACATTCACATGGAGCTCTACTGCTACTACCTAAATCAATACACACAATACTCTAGTGCTAATAAATCCGTGATAGCGAACCGGTTAGTTCTTGACCGTTGTCTCGATCTGTGATGTTTGAAATAAATATTGTTAATGATTAAATTGATTAATATGTACAAATGATATTTTCAAAGAGCAACCCCTACAGTTTCTTGTAAGGGAAATCTGCCTTACGAATGAGCAGTAGTGTTAATTTTAGTAGTGTTAATTGTGTATTTGACGACTTGAAGTGTAATTTTCTGCCCTATGAAATAAAGTTTTGACTTACTAAATTTCCCTTAGTTGTGTAGTTTAAATTAAGTTGGTTATGTATCTGTCGTGTCTTGATATTTTTTTTATTCAAGTTTAAATCTGAGGTATGGGACGAACAAGTCGTGCGCCTGATGGTAAACGACACGCTTGTTCATAACAGTTGCAGTAGCACTCAGAGGTTTAAATCACAAATTGACAATTCCCTGTAATTTAACCAGCTTCCTTAGGCTTCGAAACTGGAACGCTGTAATGTTCATACTACTGCTTGGCGACAAAAATAGGTAAGGTGGCAGTATTTCCCTGGACGAACTCTTTCACAAGGAGCTCTACTGCTACTAAATATAATACTGCTACTAAAAAAATTGCATGAAGTTACCTCACATCCGCTTGGGTTGTCTTGGGTTGCTGTTTTTTTTTCGTAAGTTTGACAACTTGTCAGAACAATCGCATTGTTTTGCAACTTTCTCCCTTTTATAAATGCTTATATCATTAGCATAAAGTATTATGCGTTGCAAATTTGTAATGTTATATTGAACTATATGTATTACGCTTTATAGACGGTCCATCTCATAAACGTAGTAACCGCAGCCTATAGAAATTTGCAGTACTCGGGAAGTATCCTTGACATTGCAAATGCTTTTCTAACCATAGGATCTTAAGTCTCCTTCAATAAAGCAGCACTGCTGCTTTACGGAGAATAGAGATAGGTCAGTAGTAACTACCCAGGCATGTTATGCAGATAACAATTATTGACCATATTATAACTAATATTTGTGCCATTGTTGTGCACGGTCTAACCTGTGAAGTATTTATTTTTACAATACCAAGCGACGGAATGGTCTGTCGCTGGTCGAGAAAGAATCGTCGTCTTAATTTTTTTTACAACAATATATATTTCTAATAAAGCATTCTGTGTGAATAAAGACTGCCACTTGTAAATAGCAAAAATAACTATAATATATCGAGTTCTTAGGTTTTCGCGATTGCTGCACATAGGACATGAAACTCTTTTTCCGGATTTAGTACCTTTTTTAAACACACCAACATTTCGGGCGCTTTACAGGTCACGTTGTTTTTTTTTTTTTGAAAAACAATAAGCCGCGAGGAAACCTATTCCTATTAAATCGCGTATATTTGTTTTTTCAAACAAACCAACGTTTCAGGCCCTTTACAGGTCCCATGGTCACGATTGACTGAAGTGGTCCAGTCATCAACCAGTATTGTCTAATATTGATGCAAACCACCCTATTTTTTCACTGTAGTAACAAAAGTTATTAATGAAATACTTTATTTTTAATTTTACATAGAAGCATTCCAATTTACACTACACTGTTTTACAAATTATTTTATTGTACCAATGTTAAGTGTTAAGTTACATTTACTATTAATTAATAATGGAAATTAGGATAAACTAAGACATATTGATTAGTACTGCAGTCTTATGTCTGTTTGAGATTTTTCATATACGCGATTTAAATCCGGAAAAATAGTTTCATTAACTATAGGTAATATAGATAGGTAATTTTTTGAATGATATCAAGTGACGGGACGAACAAGTCACCGCCTGATGGTAAGCGACACGCCTGTCGATAGCAGTCGCAGTGCCACTAAGATCTTTAAATCGCAAATTTTTAGGGACATTACCACTGCGCCCGTCAGCCTGAAATAATAAGTACATGTGCCTGTAATTAAAAAAAAACCAGCGGAACATAGTACCTAATGCTCACATTACCGCTTGGCGGCAGAAATAGGTAAGGTGGCAGTACTTCCCTGGACAAATTCTTTCACAAGGAGCTGTAGTGCTACAAAAGGTATAGTCTAATACACACTTAGGTAATTTAATTACTTAGACTGCACCACTTAACGACTATTCTCCCATGTTCTTCTAATTCCTGAGGAAAATATGGAATCCTGAACGCAGGGTCTAACACCTTAGGAAGCAAACTTTATTCCAACTAGGTCATACCTACGTCATTATTTATTAGTTAACGCAATAAGTAAACGAGCATCGAACTCTGACCCAGAGCGCTATCACCAATGACTAGTCGTTTTCTTTCTTGCAACATGCGAATGCGACGTTCTGATGATTCAGCGGCAATCCCCGTGCGTGCGCGCGCGCACTGTTCCGCACGCGTGACCTCCATGTTAACACCTATGTGACAATCGGCTTTCATGATGGTATCAATTTCGACAATTTTGGCAGAGATACTTTAAACTTTTGAATTTAAAACCTTAGTAAACCGACGATTTTAGTTTTTTATTTAAATATTTATTTATATATCAAATAAGTAATACTCGATCAAATCAAAAAAACAACGCCAAGTATGAAGCTTCATTCGCATCATGCGTTTCAAATGAAGAACGAAAGTACAGGCCAGAGACGGTTTCCGTACAAAAATGTTGGGTGTGTTGGTGAACAACATCATTTACCTACAAAATAGTGATATACTAATTTGTACCTGTTACGTACACATCCGTCATTATAAGTTGAAAATGCCGGTTCAGACTTCAAACAGTTTGTCCGTTACGTAACCATAAATAAAGATTCTTTCTTTCTTATTTCCAGAGAGCAGCGGCAATATCTTGGGCGCGAGCGAATGGAACACCGGTTACCCATCCACGGCCACCGTCTACCCATCCTATGCCCCGTTGCAGGCGCCTTATTATAAGCCCGACATGCATATACCTGCTGGTAAGCACATAATACCTAGTCCATCAACCTTTCAGTCCATTTTTAAACATGAACTAGAGTTCATTTGGTAGACCAAATAGGATATTGAAGGGGTAAAAGATTTTTGACCATCGACACGTGTGATGAAACAAGACGACCTAAATCTTTTTTTTAATCTTTTCTAATTTTAGGACTTTTGTTCTAGAAAACATGCCAGTCCTATCATAACATTGAATACCTAAATTTGTAAGCAACAGGAACAACATCGTATTTTTTGTCGATTAACAACTGTGACCAGACAAAATCGAGTATATGTGTAAGAAGTAGACGATGGATATCGTGTTTCTTGTAGACCGACGTTGATTTTCAAAAAATCGGTTAAATCTGTAGGCGCCTTTACATACTTTACATACATATCGATACTTCGGGAAAGAAAAAGCGTGAAAGCAATCTATTACGTAATTAGGATAAATTTTCACGCTCTATCCAGATGGATAGAGTGTGAAAATTTATGAAGAATATAAACAGATGTTTCGTCGAAGAAATATTTTTCGTCAAAAATGTATATTTTTGCTTAAAAATTGCTATAAAAAGTAAGAAGGATTTGAATCAAAACATTTATAAAGATATGTTTTCCACTTGCCTTTCACATTTTGTAGTTTGGGTTTTACATCTTTTCTGCCTGATAATGGCTCCTGTCTGTGCAGAAATCGAGTAGCAATTGGTCGGTGACTAGTTTCCCTAGCAACACTAAATAAATAAATAACAATTTAGAATTTACAACAACGTCAACTGTCAACGTCAACCAAAACGAAAGTTAACCGTGACCATGGGACCTGTAAAGGGCCCGAAACGTCGGTTTGTTTGAAAAAACAAATATACGCGATTTAAATCCGGAAAAATAGTTTCATTTCCTATGTGTAACAATCGCGAAAATCTAAGAACTCAAAATTTGGAATTTTTTAAACTACAATTTTTTTACATTTTACATTATAGTGGAACACGGGCAGCCACTATTAATTGGTGTTTAGTACACACTCCGCTTGCCGGTCTGATGCAGGAAGCGAATAGCAATAGCTGAAGCCTGAAAGTCAGCAATGCTGAGTCTTCATCCCTTTTTGTCCACACTACTGATCTTTGGTTTTAATTTTAATTGTTCGCTTATACTTGTATGTGTGTTTTGTGGATAAATAAATGTCATTTTATTTTATTTTAAATAGTCGACACTAACTGAAAGTCTTAGGCGTGCTCTTGCCATGGATGAAATAATATTTTTTTTTACACACCCATGGCGCCTCACGCGTAGGCAACCACAAATTACACCCAAACTCACGAGAGAAATAAGTGTAGGCCATATAAATATTTCTCTCGACCCGAGAATCGAACCCGGGACCTCTCCGTGGCAATCCAGCATGGTAACTGTTCGGCCATTGAGGTAGTTTATTCCAAGACTTTCGCTTACATGCACACAAAAGATTTGACTAACTCTTTTAAATATTAAATAAAAAAGCGAAAATTACTGAAACACAGTGATTTCTCTTTGAGTTGTAAATGGAAATGTTAGATGATTCACACATGCATTTTTCTATTTATAAACCTTTATTGTTCGTTATAACAATTATGCTCGTATTTTGGTAATTTAATAAAAAATAAAAAATTAAATAAAATCTTTAAACCTACGTATTTATGTCTTTATTCGTATTTTGAGAGGATAGTAGATTTTCCGGCTGTTGCTTAGATATTGTCTGTCTTATATAAAAGTATTGTGTTTCCCTGTCACTGTAATATTATACAATAACATAGATACCTAATTAAACATTATACCGTCGTTATTTTATACGAAGGGCGAAAGTGTTGTTTTAGGTTTTAACGACGGTTTTAAAATATTAACGTCCAGTTTTAAAATTCAATTTTAGTTTCAATTAAGAGTCTATACCAACTCAAATCGATTTGGATGAATCCGCACAACAGCGAAAGTGTTGAATCAATGACTTTGGAAAAAATGTGTAGTAAAATTGAGGATATTCACTGATTAATATACAGTGTGAAAACACGATTCCGAGAAACCGCCGTATTCAATAGGTACTTTACACATACCAATGTTTTTTTTATATCAACTGAAGTAAATATAACACGTATAGTATGCAACAAACATTTTTGATTTCGTTTATAAAAAAAAATTCTGAAACAAAGCCAGTGTCCGTGCCGGTCGACCCTAGCAAAATGAATCGTATTAGTACAATTTTAATTCGCGCTGAGGTGGTGATGGCTGTTAAGTTTAAGTTTTAAAATTGAATTTAAAACAGAACGTAAATATTTTAAAACAGTCCTGAAAAACTTTTCAAATTACAAATCACCGACGATATATTATGTTCTGTTGTGATATCAGTAAGGAGAGTGCACTGTGTCAAGACACTAGCCTTTTTACCGGCACCGGATTAAGTCTGTGTATATGGGCTGAGCTGATGTTAGGACCTGACTACTTGGTACTTGGTGCAACGGGCTGGTATCCGCAACCTTAGGACCTGACTAATAAGGTCCCTGTGCGGGCTTGCTTGAGCAGTGCCCTTCCTGTGTAACCATAAGGTTGGGTAGGGAGGGCACTATAATCAAAATAATAATAATAAAAAATAATAAAACTTTATTGCCAAAAGATACAAATCTAGTACATAGTTGTGCCTAGCTCCCAAACTAGGATCCCCTGTACTATGGGTAGCTAGCTAAATTTTTTTATCGCATCTTGTAGTAAATAAAAATTTACTACAAGATACGAGACTATTGGGATACCAAGTAAATAAATATTTTTTCTGTCCACAGTTCTACCGGAAATACCTCTAAGCCATCCAGAATACAGCGGATTCCAGTCCCCGACAACACCCTACAAGAGCAACTCTAGCACACCAAGCACCGCGCTAACCGAGCTCAACGCATCGGCAGTGAACGCGCAGCGTTACGACCCAACATACTACAACACGTGGTCGGCAAACACCTACAACTACAACAACTACCAATACAACAATATCAACAACAACCCCGCGTGCATACAATCACACACACCATACATAAATCCAAATCCCCAAATGATACTACCAAATTTGTATTCCACCGTAAACCAAAATCAAATACATGTACATTTGCATAGTTCCGATAAGCATGTTGAACAGTACATCCCTAGCGAGATTAAAATAAGCGATATTGATGGCGGAATATCGATAACTACAGAATTACAAGCTGGAGAAGCAAGTGGTCTAGTACCTTCATGTGAAACTGGAGACGATGTCAAACATGGTTTATACGCAGGTTCCCAAGAAGGTGGCGTATGGAGACCGTATTGACAATACGCCAGTCTTAATTACATCTCTAATGCTCAAACAACTAACGTAAAAGATGATAATCAACATTCCATTGTACATATTGTGATATAATTACGTATAATTTAGTTATAATTTGTATAGAATTTCACATAAATTAATGTTAAACATTAGCTATTTTAGTTGTTAAGTGTTATTAAATGTATTGAAATTATTAGTGATATTAAACGATGATTAAAAATCATTTGGTGTCTTATTACTTCGAGTACTAGAT